GTTGCAAATATTTAAACTTCATTATGCTGGCTGAGCATCAGTCTGTCCTTGGAAATTATTTTAAGTGGAACCTACAGAATATGGAGGCTTTCAGTACTGACTTTTTTATATCGGTGCAAAAGACAAGGCTGTAGGTCAATTGATCCAAAACTTTACTGGCTGCATGTTTGTTTTAGGTCAATTACTTGCAAAGCAGTAAAGCAAAGACAAGGATGGCAGCCCTGAAAATTTAAAGTGACACTAAACCCAGGAGTTAAATCTTAAAAATGCATTCAAGTACCTTAACTTATAACACAAAAATAGCTTATTTGTGCATCACTTGGCTGTAGATCCTCAAATCATCTCTGAATTGGTGCTGACACTGTCCTTCCTTCTTCAGGGTGGCTACTTTTGTTCTCCATGGTCCCTGTGTGTGTTGTGCAGTAGCCACAGCACCAAGCTTGACCCCATGATGGACAGTAACTTCAATACAAATTAGTAAACTAAACGTGAGATTGCAGTCCATCCCAGGAGTGAGCTTGGAGTGGCAGTTACTTTACAACACACACAGGGACCATGGGGAACAAAAGTAGTCATCCTCCAGAAGGAAGGACAGTGTCGGCACCAATTCAGAGATAATTTGAGGGTCTACAGCCGAGTGATACACAAACAAGCTACATTTTTGTTACTAGTTAGGGTATTTGAATGCATTTTTAAAGTTTAGCTCCTGAGTTTAGTGTCACCTTAATTTAATAAACCTAAAAGCTTATCCTAGGCTACTAATACAACAAATAATTTAATGTACAAATAGGTGTCCCTGCATTGCTCTCTTTCCAGTAAGACTATGTAATGAGCATGATATAGCTTCACATTTTCACTTGATATAATTCCATAAAAGAGAGTTAATTAATTGTACAAATACTACAATACTACAAATACAAATAGTGCATTAAAATCCCATGTAATGCGGTCCACAAAAAAGGGCACCTGTGTAGGTACATACACAAAAACCTTATATAGGGCTAAACCTGCATCTTTATGTTGCAGGATTTAAAGAGCTCTGCTTTGGCAGAAAATGTATCACAGGAGACAATTAAGTTAAGTCCCATAGTCAGACGTCCAAACACAACATACAAACAAGAGTTACCTATAAAGCATAATTACTCAGGTAACACATTGTGGTTGTCATGTTTATCGCAGGAGCTGGATTGTTATCACAGCAATGTACAGCTGGGATAAAGGGGAGGCAAGACAAATATTTTAAAACCTATGGTCTCCTGGTAAACCCAGAATAGTTGTCAGCTATGCACTTGCAAGCTGCTTGCCACCATCTGTAAATGAATTACAAGCCGCTCACTGGTATGTTCTTCAGCACACATAAATTATGTTTTGAGAATTGCTGTGAGTGAGGATATGGAAGCCTTTCAACACAGACAGGTGGTAGGATTTCAGATAGAGCGGTTTTTGTTACACTGCAATACACTGACTGACTTTGGTAGCATAGTATCGCTCTGGTAATGTGGTGTCAGTCTGGCTTTGATTGCATGACATCTTCCTGGTTGCACGGTGTCACCCAGTATTTGGAATTCCAAGCTTCTTTAATCTACCTTTCTAAAGGCCCCATAGACAGCTTGTATTTTGTCTGATTTAGCAGGAATCAGACTGAATTTAAGCTGTGAGCAACCCTGCTAGCGCGACCCAACTAGACAAAAGCTGAGTTAAAAACCGACTGAGCCAGGTAGAAAATGATTGGCCAAACATTGACTGCATCCTGACAGGTGCAGTCATGGTTTGGGTTGGGTCAGCCACTGGCTGATTGCAATTTAAAAACTGATCAGTGGGTACTGCAGTATTGGGAATAATCTATTTAAACTAAGAACACTGAGGAAGACACAAGGGTACAACACGAAGTTGGACAAGGCACAAATTAACCTTACAGCACATAAAATTTAACAGATCACTACACAGCATTTATTATAAAACAATACATCTGAACACACAGATTTGTCAACGTTGTAGCGATATGATGTTGATAATCACTCCCAAATTATAGGGAACATTAGTGTATACACTAGACCGAGCGCAACACAACAGCACTACTAGACACAGGTTGTTCACCAGATATTGCTGCATCTGGTCTATTATTATTTTTGAACACGTTTTTTACTCCTTGCGCAGCTGCTGTTGATTATACAAATTAATCTCAGACTGCATGAGGGTTATTTTACTATATTGTAGGGGCAGTTAAAATTTGAAATTCCCTGAAAGCATTGATAACTTCAAAAACACTTTGGTGAGTTTCGTGGTTCACAGAATATACAGGTATATGGGAGATGTCAGGGGCAAGTGTACACACACACCCATATAGGTTGAATTGGATGGACCTATGTCTTTATTCAACCTAACCAACTATGTTACTATGCAAGTGCTGCGAATGGACGAGGGGAGAGGTGATTCAGGTAAACAACAGAATCTCCTCTCCTCCATTAACAGAATAACTTGTAAAAGAATAAAAGGTGTTTTGTGAATGGACAAGGGGAGAGAAGGGGCAGGTAAACGACAGGATCTCCCTTCTTCCATTCACAGCATGCCTTGGGTTCTGTGAAAAGAGTAAAAGAAGTATTGTGAATGGATGAGGGGAGAGGATGAGGTGGATACACAACACAATACTTTACTGAATGGGAGTTGGAACCTCTCATCTGGGGCGCTAGAAGAAGAGCAGTGTCTGAAGTATCCAGTCTCAATAAAGATAGAATTTGCACAGTAACCAGCTATCATCCGAGCAAAGGCCAGATTATTATGACCACCCCATCAGTACTTCGTTGGGCCACAAGATGACTCCACGAGATGACTTCGTTGGGCCGCCTCGTGACTCCACGAGATGTTGAAAGGTGATGCGAGGAATCTGACACTGCACCCATATCTTCAGAAAAAAACACTTCTACTGTCGTGGTAAACAACCTGTTTCCCTATTTATAATGGTCTGGCCCTCTAGCAACTTCAGCGCAAAATTATAGCTAATTATAGCTAATTTGCCTACAAACGTCAGGTGGTCATAATAATCTGGCCACTCAGTATATATGACTTGTGCTCTTCCACCCCAAAAAAATCCTGGAGTTCTGCTTTAAAAGTAATGATGACTCATATTGACATGTTCTTTATAGATTTGTGAGAAGTGGGATTTTACAGATAAGACTGCTTTAAATGTTACCTCATTTGCTGCAATGTAATCATTAAGGGGGTTATTCACTTAGCTGCCAAAGGCAGCCGAGTGAGTAACCGAGCCGAAGTGAAGTGAGCCAAACGCTGTTCTGCATCATCGGCTGAGCCAAAGTGCAGAAGGACTTCGATCCAACATCCGAGTGGCATGCGGCTTACCTATTCTGCTCGGTACTTCCGAGGTAATGAGCAGAATAGCAAAACAGTTAAATAAAAATTTTTTTAAAATGTTGAAGAATTATTTTCAAAATTTAAAAAAACTAGCAAAAAGAAAAATATTTCTTTTAAAGAAAAGAAAAAAAGAATAAAATTTTTTTTTTTTAAAACAACAATTGGGCTGAGCTAGTGGTGATAGCTGGCTCCGCCCAACTGTTTCCTATTGGCCGGCACCTGCCAGAGTCTTCTAGAAGGTCCCGGCCAATGAATAACAACTGGGCGGAGCCGGCTGTGACGTCACGTTCAGCACCGCCCAGTTGTTATTGTTTAATGACAGATCAGCATCCCCAGGTCATTACAACTGGGCGGAGCAAGCAGTGACATCACGGCTCGCTCCGCCCAGCTGTTATTTGCGTGGAGATCGGTCAGCTTCAGCCGACTGTTCTCCACACAGCAGCCCTTCGGTTCGACTGAACCGAAAGGCGGGGGCATCCAAAGAGAGCCGAAGGATCAGCCGAAGCTGGATCCTTCAGCTTTTTAGTGAATAACCCCTTAAGTTGCAACTTATTTAACTGTCAACAAGAGTGAATAATGATCTCAAGTTTACCTGAGAAAAGTTACTAGTCTTTTCTTTACACCTTTAACACAACAATGTCAGGGTATGTCACAGATTCCATTTCAATTTGTAAAAATCTACTCAATATAAAGGCTGTGGCAGAAACCATGTCTCAGACATGATCAGTGTTGTCCCTAGCCTTTTTGCAGCTTGAGGTGGCACCAGGGGGGTTGGGGGGTGCTGGTGGTTGAGTGAAGCCACGCTCCCCACCTCGCTCGGTGTCCAACCCAGCTCCTGGCAGCCAGTGATATCACAGGTTGCCAAGAGCTGGATGGGACACTGGCCAGAGCTTCCCAGGTTGCTAAGAGCTGAGCGGGGAGATGTGCATGGCCCTTACACATCTCCCAACCCAACTCTTAGCAACCTGGGACCCTTAAGCTGAAAAGGGGGTGGCAGGCACACTGCAAACATTGTGCAGCAGAGCAACCATGCTGCTCTGCCTGATGCCCTCCCCACATGATCCAAAGTGATGCTGCCTGAGGCAACAGCCTCACACTGCCTCAAGAAATGAACAGCCCTGGGTATGATTGTAAACGGGAGGATTACACTGCCAATAAAATTGTAGCTGGCTGAAAACAATCAATTTCCCTCCTCAACCTGCTATAATGGACTTTGACTGGCTCAGCTAAGATTGCACTCCAAATTAGATGTAGCCTCCCTGCATAATCTCCATTGCTCCCTCCCAATGAGTGTGTTAGGAATAATCATCTACTATTTAAATGAAAAATATTTAAAAGGAAGAAACACAGTTACCTAAGAATATGAACTATTAAACAGTTCATAAGAAGTCTTGGGTTCTTTAGAGAAGAAATGCTGTAAGCAGTAGCACTTGACAATGAAACTGCTTTATAGATTTTGGCACAGCCACAGATAAACAACTGTTTGTTGGGGTCATGAGTTTTATTTCTACACGCACATTCATTTTTCATGATTACGCAATAGAATATGCATGTAGAAACAAATATGGGTGTGGTTTTAACTTTGTATTTAATTTTTACCCTTAGGACTTGCTCGCCACCCATTGTTATTAAGGCTTCCACACCTTTTCCACCAAGGATAGTATATATTCAGATCCGCCATCATTTACTGCTCAGTAAAGCTTGCCACCTGATGTACCATTCAGCTGGGTGAAGTCTCTTCCATTTCCAGAAGCCAGCAATGAGTAGCTGCAGCTGTCTGCGCCCAGAAACTGACTCGGAGGAAGAGGTGAGTTATTCCGACAGCTCAAAGTTTGAAGTCAAAGAGTGCAGGCACAGCCAGTACACAGTAACACAATAGAACTTGTGTTGTCACTGGTCATATGAGTAGCAAACTGATTGGTATACAATGTAATTCCAACACAATGAACATCACAGACAACAAAGAACATGTGGTGTTATTTTCACATAGACAGCAGAAAAAGTATGAGGAATGCTTCTTAAAGGGAATTCTTCTTTTAAGAATGCTAGACCAATATTATCATGATTATTCTTTAGTTTAAGCTGGCCATACACAAAGATTTCTCTTATTCAGCCCAACAGGGCTTAAAAAGAGGAATAATCTCCCCTGCCAGCTATTATATTATGATGGTCGGCTCCTGCAACTGTTAGAATACCCGAACAGTGACTGCAGATGTTTGGGTGCAGTCACTGATTGGCCAACTTTAAAGTTTGTTGTGCTGAGTGGTGTTGACAGGACCACCCATGGCTCAAATTTTGGATGATTCACAAGAAAGTTTTTAATCTGTGTATGGCAAGGTTAAGGCCCTATTCACACCAGCCGCCTGCCAGTGGCCACAGCAAGAAAATGGTATGCCTGCTTACTGCCAGCTTACAAAGTCAAGTAGACTACATTAAAGTGACCCTGTCACCACAAGGTCCAAAGTAAACATACCCCACACTGTAAAAGAAGAGCAAATATTACCTTTCCATTGGCACTTGTCTTCAAACCCCCATGCTTTGTTGATCACCATCTGTTTAAGTTCTTTGACACTTACATATGTGTGAATACCTGCTTCTCTGAGCGCTGAGTGCCAAATCATGCAACAAAACTTGCGTCTATAGTGAAGTCATGCTTCGGTGCCATTCTTGTGCCTTGCTAAAAACACCCAAATATGTGCATGTACTCGATGCTCACTGACGTGACGCTCCAGGGTAAATGGGGGCTTGAGTGCAACAGTTTTGGCACCAATAAAATTGTCACTCCTGATAAAAAGAAATGTATTGCCCCTAAAAAACTAACCCTAACCATTACTAAACTCCAGGCAGATATCACATTTTATTTAGAAATGAATTAAATAAAAAATAATTTCATGCAATTTTAAATAAACCTAGCATGAATGCCTTATTCTGTCCAGATAATCAGACCCCTGTAATCTGTATAGCAACACTTACACTAGGTAAAGAAAGAGCGGAACGTTGAGCCAATCGGGACTCTGTGCAGAGTGCTGTCAGCCAATATTTTGAATATGCTCAGTGGAAGGCAGAGCAGGAAGATGACAAAATGAGCACTTAACCCTTGCAATATGGGATAGCCCCATTGCAAGGGTAGTTTTTTGTTCCCTAGTATTTTATAATCAAAAATACTCCAATGCTAGGTCCTTTTTAACATGCCTCTAAATCTAACCCTTAAACATAATATAGCCCCTTAACTAGGGATGCATTGATACCGATACTAGTATTGGTATTGGTGACGATACCGAGTATTTGGGCGGGTACCCTTACTCACCCAAATGCTCCTGATACGGAAGCCAGGCAGCGAGTTACACTCTGCCCAGCTTCCTGATTGACCAGGATGCTGACTCCATGCTTCCTTGTCGCCAGGGAGCATGAAGCTGGCTTCCCGGCTATTTAGGAAGCCAAGGGGGGGGCGAGTCATTACCCGCCCCCCGCGGCTTCCTGATTGGCTGTGAAGCCAGCTCCACGCTCACTCGTTTCCAGAGGGCCTTGTCACTTGGTGTAATGACTCGCGCCCAGCTTTCTGAATGGTCGGGAAGCTGGCCAATCAGGAAGCCAGGTGGCGAGTCATTAACCCCCCCCCCCCCGACTTCCTGGCAATCAGGAAGCCGGGCGGCAAGTTGTGACATGCTGCCTGGCTTCCGTAATAAGGCTTCTGGTATAGGTATTCAGTATCGGCGAGTACCGGAACACAATTATCGGTACTCGTATTCGATCCCGAAAAAACGGTATTGGTGCATCCCTACGCTTAACCCTAACCTGAACCTGTTCATTATGACTTGTTATATTATGCTAATTTTCATTATCAGCTGAACAATAAGATTATTTTTTCACTAATAATCAAACAACACACCACAAATGTGCGCAGAACACTGGTGCCAAAGGTTTTGTGCTGAAAACAATTATTTTAATAATTACTCTATATGTATACTTGCATAATGTTAAAGAAAAAGAACATGACATGAGACTAGTGATATCTGTTTATTACTTGAACTGTACACTAACTATTCCTATTTCTTCTCTAGTACAAGGAGAGCCCAGAGAAAGAGCCGAAAGAGGAGCTAAGTGACAAAGTAGACGGAGAGCTGATCTTTACTGCAGCCGTCGTGGGTGGTATACACAAAGCACAAAGCAACCAACGGGAACGTGAGAAGGACCGCCAAAAAATAAGAGAGCGAGAACGAAGAAAAGACCATGAAAAACAGAGGGAAAAAGATAAAAACACAGAGAGAGAAAAGGAGAGGAGAAGGCAAAGAGAAAGGCAGAGACAAGCTGAGAAACAGAGACAGAGACAGTCTGACAAACAAAAGCAGAGACAAGCAGAGAAGCAGAGGCAGAAGAAAAAGAAATAACTTATTTTGTGTACATACCATCATAGTAGTATGATAAGTCCTTTAAAAAGAGTTCAGCCAGTCGCAGTGATTAGGCTTTCATCATGAGGAATTTGTATCCCTCATCAGGAACACCATTTTAATCAGGCTAGTTATATAGGCATCAGATCTGCAGTGCAGGTTTTAACTTAAGTCCCCAGATCTCTCCTATGATTAGCAGTCTATGTGGCTGCACAGATCCCGGAAAATAAAGAAGTATTGTACTTGAAAGGAGACATTTATTTCTTTAATTCTTACATGCAAACACAATTATCTAAAATAATGAAACAAGGGAACAACCTGATATCTGAAACATAAGCTGTTGTCCGTGTGTTCTATACATAGATCTAATGTATATCTCTATCGTACACCAGACCAGGCTGGAAATATGCACTGCTGTGGGGTGCTGTAGCAGTAGGTGGACAGAAGAGAATATATTGCTACCAGGCTGCAATCTTCTAAAGTAAAAACACCTATAGTAGAGTAAGTTATGCAACATTTGTGACCCTGCAAGGGGTCCCTTCATCAGGTAAAGTGACCACCTTTGCCTGATGAGGTCACTTTACCTGATGAAGGGACTGTTTGTGGGTTCTGAAACATTGCATTTATTATGTGACATGCATAACTAACTCTAATAAAGGCAGTTCTATTGGAAATATACTCCCTTCTCTTTGCACAGATGTGGGCCTTCATGCATTAAGGCTAGGTTCTCACCTTTGCATCTGCATTTCCCAGTGATTTTTACAGCCTTTATAATGCATGTTTTAACATATAACATTTTGGTGTGTAATTTCACGTGTTCAGCACTTTTTTTTTGGCCAGAGATAGTCAAATAAGGTAGAGGTTGCTAAGTGGTGGGGACTTGTTGTCATGCACTAAAACATACAAAAACGCACGCTACATGTGGTTTTCCTACACTGTTAAAGTCTATGGGGCCAAAAAGGCCCGTTCTCACACCAAAAGAGGTACTTGTCATGTCATGTTTTGGGCAACACGTGTTAAATCACAAAGGTGTTAACTGGGCCTAAAGAAAATCTTTTGAGAGGGAAACACTGAGGGTTCTATTGCTGTCTATTGTGGAAAGTCCGGTTCTTTGGCTGTAATACGGGCCCTCCGGCTTCAGTAGTTTGAGTCACCAGCCCATGGGAACGAAAAAAATAGAACCGTGTATACCCCACTTTAGAAGGGATTTTCTCTTACTTTCTGCTGTAGGACAATGACAATAAAAAATGAACTATTCCCTACTCTATGCAAAACAAAATAATATGTTTTGCCTACAAATAAAATGAAATCATATCAAGTAGGGATGCACCGATACAAGTTTTTCTGTACCAAATTTTATTTTTTTAATACTCGCCGATACCAGATACCGGGGCCGTGTCCCCAGATTATCAGGACTTATTATGCACTTACAGAGGCCGTCTGGCTTTCTGAACAATCTGCGGCAAGTCATGAGGTGCCATCTGGCTTCCTGAGTGGTCAGGAAGCCAAGCTGCCTAGCAACAAGTGTAGCCGACTTCTCAGCCAATCAGGCGGCACGTCATGACCCACCTCCCAGCTTCCTGATTGGGTAGGAAGCCGGCATCACTTGTTGCTAGGCAGCGTGGCTTCCTGACCAACCAGGAAGCCGGGACGGGAGTCATGACATGCCGCTTGGCTTCCTGCTGGGTTGGGAAACTAGGCTGCTTACTAACAAATGAAGCTGGCTTCCTAGTCAATCAGGAAACTGGGAGGCACGTCATGACCCGCCTCCCGGGTTCCTGTTTGGCTAGGAAGCCGGCTTCACTTTTTCCTAGGCAGCCTGGCTGGTGAAGCCTGGCAGCCTGGTGAAGCCAAGCTGCCTAGCAACAAGTGAAGCCAGCTTCCAAGCCAATCAGGAAGCCGGGAGGCGGGTCATAACCCACCGCCCGGCTTCCTGATTGGAAAGGAAGCTGGCTTCATGCTCGCTCGGCACTTGCAGTCTGAGGGAGATCTCCCTCTGACTGGAAGTCCTGGTATCGGAGGTAAGTATCAGAGCATTTGGGCGAGTGTGAGTGCTTAATACTCTGTATCCGTGCATTCCTAATATAAAGGCAAATTTTTGATCATGCTACAATTTTTAAGTGCCACATTATAAAGCCATATTCAGTGATACTCAACTGGTGGCCCTCCCACCCTTTACACACAGATTTTTGTGAAATGGGAGCATAAAGCTTACATTTCAGCAGCACTGCACTGTACATATTACTGGGAACTGTTGTTGCTGTCTGGTAGCTAACAAGCAACAAAGATCTGCAGTGTTAATGGTTTACGGTTATTGTAAGAGAGACCTCCTGAAGGAAGGCCTTATGTCAACTGCAGGGTTATCATCAATAAAGCAAAAACAGTATTCTTCCCCATTTCCCTTACTGATAAGAAAATGAAGAAAAAATATTTTGTATGACACTACAGAGGAAATGGGAGCTGCATCTGAGGCCCTGAAAATCTAGCTGTTCTCCTTGCTATGCCCTAAACTGTACATATGGTAGCAGAAACAATTCAGTTATTGTTCAGTTTAAAGAAAGGTCCTCTACAACCAGCCCTTCACTTCACAAAAGACAAGGACCTCAGTGAAACATATGCCAAGGTTTTGAAAACAGTTACAGCACTAACTACATAGCCAGTTGCTCTACAGCAGTGGTTCTCAACCTGTGGGTCGCGACCGAAATATAGCAGAGGAGTCGGTCAAGTGATTCCGGTGGCTGTTTAGCCACCGACATCACTTGTAATTAACCTGCTGCTCCATCCCAGCCGGCTGCCTCCCTCCCAGCCGTGGTTTTCTTGGGGACCTGGGACCACAGCAAATTAGTTCAGGGTGGAGAGCGGGGAGCAGAGCAGAGAACTTCCTTCTCCGCTCTGCTCTGCTCTGTGTAAACAGTGAGACAATAACGCTGTACACACAGCCTTCTTGTCTCAGTTGTCACAGGAGTTCCAGCACAATGCTGTGCTAGAACTCCTGTATTGGAGGTGACAGGTTCAATAAACAGAACCTGTCACCTCCAAATGCTATCACACATAGGATTGTTAGTGCCTGTGTGATCGCAATAAAGTTAAGTAAAAAAAAAAAGTTACAAATAAATAAATAAAAATTGCTAAAAAAGTTTTTTTTTAAATGAAAAAGAAATGAAAAATAGAAAAAAATAAGATAAATAATAGTTTAAAAAAAGTAAATAAAAAAAGTGATAAAAAGTAAACAATAATAAAAGAAGCTGGCTTCCTAGTCAATCAGGAAACTGGGAGGCACGTCATGACCCGCCTCCCGGGTTCCTGTTTGGCTAGGAAGCCGGCTTCACTTTTTCCTAGGCAGCCTGGCTGGTGAAGCCTGGCAGCCTGGTGAAGCCAAGCTGCCTAGCAACAAGTGAAGCCAGCTTCCAAGCCAATCAGGAAGCCGGGAGGCGGGTCATAACCCACCGCCCGGCTTCCTGATTGGAAAGGAAGCTGGCTTCATGCTCGCTCGGCACTTGCAGTCTGAGGGAGATCTCCCTCTGACTGGAAGTCCTGGTATCGGAGGTAAGTATCAGAGCATTTGGGCGAGTGTGAGTGCTTAATACTCTGTATCCGTGCATTCCTAATATAAAGGCAAATTTTTGATCATGCTACAATTTTTAAGTGCCACATTATAAAGCCATATTCAGTGATACTCAACTGGTGGCCCTCCCACCCTTTACACACAGATTTTTGTGAAATGGGAGCATAAAGCTTACATTTCAGCAGCACTGCACTGTACATATTACTGGGAACTGTTGTTGCTGTCTGGTAGCTAACAAGCAACAAAGATCTGCAGTGTTAATGGTTTACGGTTATTGTAAGAGAGACCTCCTGAAGGAAGGCCTTATGTCAACTGCAGGGTTATCATCAATAAAGCAAAAACAGTATTCTTCCCCATTTCCCTTACTGATAAGAAAATGAAGAAAAAATATTTTGTATGACACTACAGAGGAAATGGGAGCTGCATCTGAGGCCCTGAAAATCTAGCTGTTCTCCTTGCTATGCCCTAAACTGTACATATGGTAGCAGAAACAATTCAGTTATTGTTCAGTTTAAAGAAAGGTCCTCTACAACCAGCCCTTCACTTCACAAAAGACAAGGACCTCAGTGAAACATATGCCAAGGTTTTGAAAACAGTTACAGCACTAACTACATAGCCAGTTGCTCTACAGCAGTGGTTCTCAACCTGTGGGTCGCGACCGAAATATAGCAGAGGAGTCGGTCAAGTGATTCCGGTGGCTGTTTAGCCACCGACATCACTTGTAATTAACCTGCTGCTCCATCCCAGCCGGCTGCCTCCCTCCCAGCCGTGGTTTTCTTGGGGACCTGGGACCACAGCAAATTAGTTCAGGGTGGAGAGCGGGGAGCAGAGCAGAGAACTTCCTTCTCCGCTCTGCTCTGCTCTGTGTAAACAGTGAGACAATAACGCTGTACACACAGCCTTCTTGTCTCAGTTGTCACAGGAGTTCCAGCACAATGCTGTGCTAGAACTCCTGTATTGGAGGTGACAGGTTCAATAAACAGAACCTGTCACCTCCAAATGCTATCACACATAGGATTGTTAGTGCCTGTGTGATCGCAATAAAGTTAAGTAAAAAAAAAAAGTTACAAATAAATAAATAAAAATTGCTAAAAAAGTTTTTTTTTAAATGAAAAAGAAATGAAAAATAGAAAAAAATAAGATAAATAATAGTTTAAAAAAAGTAAATAAAAAAAGTGATAAAAAGTAAACAATAATAAAATTTAAAAAATTTAAAAATAAGATAAATAAAAAATATTATTAATAATACAGTAATAATATTAATAAATAATAATTTTACCGTTGGGGTTACCACAACTTGGCAAATGTTACCAAGGGGTCCCTGGCCCTAGAAGGGTTGAGAACCACTGCTCTGCAGCCATGTTTGCTGCAATGAATTGTTACAACGTAAAAATGCAAAGAAATACTCATACTGTTAGATAAAAATAGTATGTATGTATGTATAGAACATGTCTGATTAAAAAGAAGGGGAATGTTTTAGAGCAGTGGTGGTCACCTTTCTTAATATTATAACCCCT